GAGAAAGAGAGAGAGAGACAGAGAAGGAGAGAGAGAAAGAGAGAGAGAGAGAGAGAGAGAGAGAGAGAGAGTTACTATGTCATCTGAAGCATTGATCACATCTTCCAAGGTAGCCAAGATGCAGAGGGAATGTGTATCTACTTAGTAAGACAGTGTTGATGTGGGAAGAGCCCCACAAACTCTATAGTCAGACAGGGATACTTAATATGCTTTTAGTATGTGTTGAATTTAGATACCTCAAGACTGCTGTGAAAATGCTTAAAGTATTTAGCTTCTGAAATCCTATTTCTACAATGACAATACTAATACCTACTTTGTAAGTCAACTGAGGTATTTGTTTAGATTAGGGAATGGCTGTGTGACTATGAAATGGTTACAAACAAAGACACCTGACACTGTTGCATAAATTCAAAACTTGGAAGTGGCTTTAAAAATAAAACCCTGTGTCCACTCTTAACTCTGTACCATGCATTCCTACAGACATTACTAACACATAGGCAAGAAACCTGAAGCAGTGGGTTTTAACTTAGCAAAGGCATAGGTGGCATCAGCTTTCAGATCCAGGCAGTGTGACTCTGGTCAGTGTTGTGCTGCTACTGTAAGACACTATGGGGGAGGGGAGAGAGAATCACCATGTTCTGAAGCTGCTTCCAGTTTCACTGTGGCTGGAAGCCTCTGCTTGTTTACTGCTCTGTGCCACTTTCTCATCTCAGCGTCTTAAACCACTTTTAGTTGTTCTAGTGTCTTACCATCTTGTCTTGTCTTTTAAGGTTAACATTTCATAAATAAACATGTTTTGGAGGTGTGTTTTGTTTTGTCGGTTTGTGAACAAAGATTTGACAATAGCTTTTTTAACAATGGATAAATGACTTTTTCTCACACTCTGGTGAGCATTATTTGTCTTTCAAAAATTTTGTCAGTCTGTTGGAGGAAAATGTTCTTGTAGTGCATTTCTAAATTTATTTTAAAATGAATTGATTAAAATATTTTTAAATGACGATTACAACAGTATTTATTTTGAGCTTTACAACGATGCCATGGTCTATGTACACAATGTAGAATATACTCATGCTAATTAATGTGTGCATTACCTCAAATCCTTATTGTGCTTCCCTCCTAAATAACTATATTTCTAAACTGGTATTAGTGTTGGCAAAATATGTCAGAGTGTGATAGCTTACTGTGCCAGCCTGACTACCTTTGTGGGATACACAACCCACAATAGGATCAATTCCCAGATATAGTCCTTCCACTGGCCTGCCTTCATATCCTCATGCCTAAATATACACACCCACACTTTAAAAATTATAGAGTAATAAAATAAACGTTAGTAATTGTTCATTTTGTGTTTTAATATCTCAAAAGACTAGTAATTTAATAATAAAAAGGACAGTTTCCCCATATATTAACTTTAAGAGCATATATACAGAATGAGGAAGCTAAAAGGAGGAGGCCAATAATTGTAGTTGAGATTAATACCTTTCATTTAACTCAAAGTGCTCATTTTAAAATGTTGTATCCCTGTTATGAATTTAAGTAGTAATAATTTCAGTCGGAAAATAATAGGTATGAAGAATAGGGCTTTTTATTATAAATTGCTAAATTACAGTGCTAGAATATATTATACAAACAAAGCAATTTAATTAACAGAGGCTAAATCTAATGAGGAAATAGCTTGTGTATATTATGAGGAAAATCACGTAAAAGAATCCCACTTTGTATGGCAGGACTTGGAGAAATGACCTCATTCATGCATAGCAGTGAATCAGAAAGTGCCCAAAGATCACAGTACATTGTGTCCCCTCCTGAGGGCACTTTTGTAATACATGGGCTCAGAGGATTACATGCTGTTTATTAATATATTATATGTCATTTCCTCACTTGGGCCAGTGCTTTGAAATGATAATCTATTCTGAAATTTCATTTTGTGGTCTCTGAAAACTGAGTTCTAAGGCTTTGTGTCTTACCATCACCTGATAATCAAGATTCCTTATTCATCTTCGTGTTTCCTTTGGCAAGAATATCTGATTAGATGTAGCATGTTAAAAAATTCATAAAACAAAGCACTGGGATTTTAGCAAATGAGAAGATGTAGCTAATATCACATGAGACACTTGGTCTTATAGCATCCTTTAAACGGAGCGAGCAGGTTATATGAGGGGAAATGAAATCCTGATGACTGTTTAAATTCAGTATTCATTCAGCTCTACCCTGCAGATCAAGAGCCAAAGAAACTTGGTAGCATTTTATAGTCACCAATCTAGAGGGAAAAGATAAAACCTTAAACTTTGCTTATTTTAGACCTTGAACCATTTTGTCATTGAAACGAAACATTTTTATAGTAAAATTATGAATCACATCAATTAAAATTCCTCCAAATGCAGCATATTGATTGTGAAGACTTTCCCATACAAGTTAGAGAGACATGTATTTGTAGCAAGTCATTGAAAATGATTGAACAGTCCCTCGTAAGGAAGGAGGTGAGCAGGGGCTGTGGAATAGGTTCTATGGTTTTAAAAGTGCCTACAACATTATAGAGGAGAAGAGTTAGGTACCCAGCACCTACATCAGGCTGCTTACAAATGCATGTAATCCCATTCCATTGATACTTGGTACTTATTTTATTCTTTGTTCTCTCACATTGAAATGTGATCACATCTCCAGAAGACTGTGATTTCCTTTAGTAAAAATCACATGTAGTACCAATGGAAAACTATCAAAGAAATATAAGACAGTCATTTCTTTTTGACCATAGCAAGTAGAGTAATGGAGTTCTCTTCAACTGAGAGTAGGATTCAGTTAAAAAGAGAAACTATCACATTTTGGACATGCTGACTTTGAAATTATAACCATTAGTCTCAATAAAAACATCTGGTTGGTAAATAGAAGTCCGGAGTTAATTAGTAAAAAAAAGTAAGCAATTATCATATAGATGAAATTATGAAGTCTTGAGGTGGTGTGAGCTTACAAAGGTATAAATTCTTTATAGGGAAAGAAAAAATTAAGGGCTGAACCTTCAAATTATAAGGAAGAAAAGGAAGGGGAAGGAGGAAGAGGAAGAGGAGGAAGCAGGAAATTTAATTGTTTTGCTGGTACTCAAGTAATATGCATAGAAATAGTCTATGTGGTTTGAGACCCAAGATAGAACTCCAGGGAAGTGTTAATGATCATGTTTTATTCTTTCTCAGGTGAAGGGCTTTCAGAAAGAACTGTGGAGATCATTCTGTCAGTCACTTTGTGTATCCTTTCAATAATCCTCCTTGGAACAGCTATTTTTGCCTTTGCAAGGTAAGATGTGTCCCAGATTCTTTGTGGGCATTTTATCTATCATAGTCTAGTCAAGAAACAATAACCACAGCAGTTATGCAAATGGGAAACACTTATGTTTAATTTTTCTCAAATTTATAAGGCATCCAACCTGTCTGGAATATGTATTATGATGTTTTGAAGTATATACATTATTAATTGAACAAATCTAGCCTTAAAGAAGAGAAACCTACTATTTTGATAGGAAGCATTTGATATGAATGCTGGAGAGAACAGGAGTAAAAGAGGACTAAAAAGGATCAAGAGCTGAGAGTACAGCTGAGTAGCCAGTTGAGTTAGTGTAGGGAGACTGACCATTGAGGAAACTAAAAGCCAAGAAGTCTTCTCTCAAAGTTACCATGGGATGGCTACTAGGAGCACATACAACCTTTTCTTGGCTAAGAAGCATGGCAGAGGGAAGGCAGCTGTTTTCAGAAGTTACCCATCCTTATATGGAGGCTGGGGAGGCTAGAATTTGTTGATGATGTATCTCATTTATACAGAATGGTTTGGGCATTCTGGAATGGACTGGTGCTTTGTGGAGTCAATGGCTACTGAGATTGGCAGAGGGCCACTGAGAACTCCTCAAGTGGGCTGTTAGGCCCCCATATGGAACACTTATGGAAAATTTAACCACCAGTTACATATGTGGTGCATGCCTTTAATATGAGCACTTGGGAGGCAGAGGCAGGTGCATCTCTGTTCGAGGCTATCCTGGTCTATATAGTGAGTTCCAGGTTATCCAAGGCTGAAACATGAGACCCCATCTCAAAAATAAAATAAAATAAAATAATCATTGAATCATTCAGTACTGGAACCCAGAAAGTGAGCAACTTCCTGACCCCTTGTCTGGTCAGGTTACTACGGTGCTCCTCTGGACAAAGTTTAGCACTCTGGCAGGTAACAAAAGAGAAATGCAATCAATGCCCATTCAATTATCACAGACAAATGAAGGTAAGTGTAGGTGGAGTTATACAGCTAGACCACCGATCAGCTCTGTCTCTAGCTATCAATCAATTAATCAGCTTTTTGTTAATGATGAGAGCAACACCTCTTCACAGTGTACAGAAGGATTATTCCACAGCAGGTCAATTTGTAATTTAGAGACAATAAGGAAAATAAAAACAGAACATGGTGGTTCCAGTACCCCCCCCCCCCCAGAATCTGAGTAGGTTTAACTTAAGATGCTTCAATCAGGCACTTAAGTCTTAAATTTCTTACAGAAGAGACAACTGTTAAAGATGTTCCTTCCTATTGGGGTTTTCACATAATCGTTCCCTTCTCTTAACTAAGCAGCACCCATATTCTTGTTTTTCAAAGTGTTTCTTCCCATTCTCAGCCCTCTCCTTCTCTCAAACCTCAGAGGAAATCTCTATTCAACCTCCTAAAGTTGAGGTTCATCAGAGAAACAGCTAAAAGATTTTTATTTGTGAAAATAACTAGCCTAATAGTTTTCTAACTAGCTCCACGAGCTTAATTTTTAACTACAAACATTGCCCAAGTAGTTTGAATGTGACACACCATCTTTTTCATTTTGAGTCTGTTAAGTCAGCATTTTAATGTACATTTGAAAGTCTCTTTTCAAAGACATTTTCCCTGTAACACAGACAGTTTTTCAATTCCTCTGGATGATAACAAGGGAAAGTCATGATTCTAGATTATTAGGAAAATTTACATTTTAGTAAGAGTTTTGGCACATTATGAAAATGCCTAGACATGAAGGAAAACCGTCAACAAATAAGAAAATACAGAAAGAATATTTACAAGTTATAGACCTTGCCAATAAGAAGAACTTATCTTCAGTCTTTAAACTTTGTTTGCTCCAAAATTGCATTTTGCCTCCTGTTTTCTTACAGTGTGAACCCTTATGGCAGGAGGGCTTTTACTATTTAATACAGCCTACCAGTATTTTTTTTTTCAGCCAAAAGGGAATCTGTTCTTGGGTGAATGTCAAGTGACATGATTTCTGAAACTCTGTTTTAGTTCAGTTCATCTGAAGTGTGCTCCCCTCTGGATCCAGAGCACCTAAGTCAAACTGGACTTCTCCATGTCCTTTGAATACTAGTAATGGTAGGTACCCAAAATGCTTTATTGAGGAGTTATGTACTGCCTCATGAGTTTAGCCTCAATGCTTTTCTTTTCTTTTTATACATTTTGAACATACTGTTCAAATATATAGTGTCTTTGAGCATGAGGCCACATTTTATGCTCTTGACATCATCCTAGATATCAATATCACACACAACACATGTGGAATATTAATGATTGACACAGAACCAAAACACAGTCTTGTATTACACCTTAGAGAAATAAGTATATAAAGACCTTAAATTAAAAAGACTTTGGACCAGTGGGAGCTAACTTCTTTAGTCTCAGCAGTCTTGAGGCAGAGACAGGAGGATTTCTATGAGTTCAAGGCCAGAGGATTTAAACAGAGAGCTTCAAGCCATCCAAAACTATAAAATAAAATATAAAACAAAAGCCAAACAAAACAAAACAAAAACAATTTGGATAGGTTTTCAGGGTCATATTATCCAATTTTGAGCCTAATTGTGAGTTTTCTGATTATAAAATAGAGATAATATTTTATATCTCATAATTCCATATCAATTAAATGAGACAATTTAAAAGCCAATTTATATATTTGAAATGTGTAAAATGTTCCATTATAAGAAACAATAACTGTTTGTTTTAACACAGATATTCAGAATCCCTAGCTATTTCCATTTTATTTTCCTTTTATGTCAAAATGAGGGGACAGATAAAGGTAGGATGGGTAGGACACATGGAACAAAAAAATTATTTGTCTAAATGGTTTTTCTTAAAAAAAAACAAAACAAAAGAAAACCCTGTATCTAATCTGCCATATTTCTGTGATAGTTGTGATAGTTCCTGCAATGATTGCCCTGCCCTTGTTTCAGAATTAGACAGAAGCAGAAAGAAGGTGGTACATACTCTCCTCGGGAGGCAGAGATTATCGATACTAAATTCAAGCTGGACCAGCTCATCACGGTGGCAGACTTGGAACTGAAGGACGAGAGATTAACGCGGTGAGCACACTCCTCTGGGCAAGCAGTGGTCCAGAGGGCCTGGAGCCATGACCCTCTTCTGACCTATGCTTGTTGGAAGTGTTTGTGGGGTTCCAGTTTACACAGGTCACAGAGATCTTCTTTCAAAGGCTAACCTCCGTCTTCTACACACTTCTCACTGCTGTATAGAGACTCAATTAATCTTCCCAATATTTTGAGTTCAGTATGAACCTTGGACTATGCTGCTCAAACAAGACTCCCCCCTCCTCTCCCCCGAAATGAAATATTCTTATGTGTTAAATCTTTAGTGTTTTGTTTCATAATTATTCTCATATAATTAGATTCTCTAACTTGGATTTTTCTGGGAATGTCCATAAATACTTATCATAAGTTTAATTTAATTATGCTTTCAAAGCTTGTTGTTGTTTATACCATTATTGTCATTTATGAAAGCTCTTTTCATAGTTCTTTATTTAAGCATAAAATTACATGAATGTCCAAACTGTATATGACATTTATATTTCTAAATTTACTTAGAATTTAGAAACTAATACAAAGTAAATTCATATTACCATTAGGAAGAGACATATCAACTTGTGTGCTGAATGAATGACGTCATTGTAGCCTAATTACTTAACTTTAAAAAATACTGTTTAAATCTTTTAAAAAGCATATATACTGTTTATAATATTAGCAAATTTTAAAAACTTGTCTAACAAGATAATTCCCCAAATACTTAACAAAAGCTGTCAGGAGACTCTTAAATTTACACTTTTGTGAGCTCAAACAACATGTGGTTCTTATAAATCCATTGATTACTCCAAGGCATGGCAAAGCCCTCTTGACATTTTAAAAGTTAATTTTTACAAGATGGAATTAAAATATTAAATATCAGGAATAATTTGAAGCTACTACCTATCAAGCTTGGTCTTTCTTTAATAGATCAGTTTTGTAAGCATGTTGCACCACCTTGGGAGGTCCTTCAAAACCCTAGGAAATGAAAGTCATTCAGTATCATTACACTGTAAGGACATTTGATGTGTAGGGTAACCTTTTCACTTTTAGATATTGATCATTGTTTAAATTTTACTTCAATTAAAGGAGGGCATTCTGGAGGCTTATGTGTAGAATTGTATATTACCTAGTAGTATATAGCTTGTTTGTTTGTCTTTATATAAACAAAACTATATGTAAGAGAATAATGGATTCCCAGCACCTCCTCCACAGTAAGCCTTATTATTGGAACACCTCCTGGTTCTCTAGAGGTCATGCTCCCTGTAGGCAGGGTTGGCACAGGCCTTAAATCCCAGCACTTGGGAGGCAGAGGCAGAGGCAGAGGCAGGTGGATCTCTGTGAGTTCTCGACCAGCCTGGTCTTCAAGAGTGAGTTCCAGGACAGCCTCCAAAGCCACAGAGAAACCCTGTCTCAAAAAACAAAAAAAGAAAGAAAGAAAGAATAAAAGAAAAAAGAACCTTTGGACCAACTGAACTATCAGTTGCCCTCTTTCTTTCTGAACTCTTTACTCAATTCCTGTGTCTCTTCCACAGGACTAGGCTGGCCACAGTCCTTCTGAATGTGTATAAGGGAATAACCTCAAATCACTCAGTGACATTAAATTTAGCTGCTTGAAAAAAATGTAGCAGAATCCCACCATCCTGATGTGAACTGCAGGAAGGTCACAACAGTTCTTTATGGCCATTTTGATTTTGTTTGGAAGCAGTTTTATTGAACCCATAGTAATCCACAGTAAGCAGATCTCTAGAAGTTCAATATGATAAAACGGAGGAGGAAAGTTAACATGAGAAGAAGCATCTGTTGAGGTCACTTTTCCTGACAGTGAACGTCAATGCCGGCCTACTTTCCTAAATGTGGTGTGTTTTCAGAGCATGACCATTCACTACTTCCTCGCATTAAATACAACTAGAAAACTGCGGTTTTCTTTTTGACTTTTTATTCTGGTAATGACTATCTTGGCAGCTACAGAGAGGATTTGAGTCATAGAAATGTGAGCCGGGTCTCTGCCAATTCTTTATTAGTGTGCACTTACAATTCAAGGGTGGTCTTATTTGGCTTTGGCTCTTTATTAATTTTCCTGTGTTGTGCTATTTTATCTATACATCTTGATGTTTGTTAAAACCCCAAAAGAGCAAAATATTATAAGTATATGTTATTTCTGTGTCACAGAAATTATTTGAGTAATAGTGAAATTGAAGATATTGATTTTCATTCATTTAACTTCACCATTTTGTGTGCAGAACTATTGAATTTATATTATAAAATCTTCCCTGTGGACCAACTGAACTTCTGTAATTACCCTCTTCCTTTCGTACCCTTTTATCCATTGCTGTGTGTCCTCCACAGGGTTATGTCCCATTCATTCTGAGACAATTCAAAAAGAGTTATATGTACCAATGACCCATAATAAATAATGATTTGCTGGACTTAATACAGAAAATCATTAAAATTTTTACATTAGTAAAGTCATTAACACATTAGACAAGGTTAAAAAATTAATTACTGAAAATTAGTGCATTGGACACATTTGCATGGGAGCTGGTCATCAGTGCAGTGCTGAAAACCTTTGTAGTCTTTGACATGCTTCACAATCTTGGTATGTTCCAAGTCAGAAATGACAATTTAATTCTGGAAATGAAGAGGCAAAGACATCAGGTTTTCTTCCTAAATTGTGGAGAAATTTTCAGGGAGAAATTTTTTCCCTTCTACAGTGGCAACCGTCTGCAGGAAGGAACTCAGTTTCCTTGAAATCTACCCAATTCCCATGTGTTTTCTACCAAGGTCATGAGGGTATCCTTCCAAACTGCCAGAATTTTCTTGCTCAAGAGAGCTTGTAATTATCCTCAGTGCTGTATCTTTTCACCTGTCCAAGAGAAAGCACTAGTCTGTAAAGACAGTATTAATTTTGAGGAGTTATGTGGTTGATTTCAACAAAGTCAAGCTTAGTAATGCATCATCCTGTAGCCTTGAGGGTTTTCATATGAAATTGTTTAACATTTATGTATTCTACTGTGTGCTTATGTTTGAAAACTCATCTTGTTATATGAATGTTCACTAATTATATTCCACTCTATGACACAAAGAGTTTGAGGATCCATTCTCCACATTTTGCTTTTTCTTTCCTATAGAAGTAAGATAATACAAACTAGTACTCACTGACTCAACTTTAAGAGATGTGCTAAGAAAATGTTTTATTTCTTTAGTAAGAATTCCAAGGCCAGCTTGTATAACTTACTAAAATCCTGTCTCTAAACAACAGCAACAAAACAAAATAAAAAAGAGAAGAAAAGAAAGAAAGGAAAAAATTCCTGGCAAATAAGTAAATAAAATAGAGCTTATCTACCTATCTTGCAGCCTTAGATACATCTACATTACTTATAAATATAATTTAATATAATACATAATATAATTGGATGAATAGGCTTTGTAATCTATATATCAAAATGCACTTCGTATTGTTACTGTTACTTGCATTTGTAAAATAAAAGAACTATTCCACTTTACTATCACACATAAAAATTAAAAGCATAATAGTTACTAATTTTATAAGCAAGTTCTTAGTGTAGGAAAAGCTAAAAAACACTAGAAAAATGTAGAAGTGAAACTTTGATTTTTACTTTAGTAAATACCTGCTGGATTTTGTAGGGCAAGTCTTTAATCCTGAGACCTGTGAGGCAAGGCCAGGAAGATCTCTGTAGTCTCTGAATTTGAAGCTAATCTGGTCTACCTAGTGCATTTCAGGGGGACCAGAGCTAAATGGAGAGACACTGTTTCAAAATAAAATAAAACATAATTGACACAAGAAACTAAATGTAAAATTGTTTGCACATAGATTGCCATCATTGCTGGACAGATTCTGATCATCAATTTTACATCTATTCTAAATCCTTTTGTAAACAGTGGCAAAAATACCCTAGTACATAATACAATTCCTTGCAAGTCAAATTAACAGTATGATAACCAATGCTCATGTTCCCATAGTGGCAAGTAGAAGATAATATAGTACCATGCGCTAAATGAATAATGAATCTTTACTTCCAGATACTCTTCACTTTTCTTTAGACGCAAGGAGATTTTTGTCATCCAGTAAGTTGTGTGGTAATGCAGAGCTCTGCTGTGATTATTTGGATTTTGCCAGGTGGTGTGCTGTCTCTTTTAAAATACATGATATTGAGCATTTTTTGTTGCTTAATATGCCATTCTTTCCAAGGCCAGAAAGAAAAGAAATGTTTTCTTCTTGTGATGTGCTCTCTCTAAGACTGCATGCTGTTGCTATGGTAAAATTCTCACCAAAACACACATTGTCTTGCAATGTGTATGTCCTATGAATATGTTGTGTTCTTATGTTGGATCGTTTTGATGGTAAATCAGCTTCTTATCTAGATTCTTTTCACAGGCTTCTGATTCTACTATCATAGCTCTTTGATACAAGATTTAATTTCCCATATGTTGATGGAGCATACTTCACACAAGCCCATTTCTCCAAGTGCAGGTGTCTGTCTGTAAGGACCAATTCAGTGGCTTTTTCTGTCCTCTGTTCTCTAACTATGGTTTATGAAACTTTAATTTCGTCCTGACCAGTAGGCAACCAACCACATGCACTTTCAGGAACTACCCTAATGCTTGGTAGTCCCAATTGTGACCTGGCACAAGTATAGCACTGTGAAGTTATTAATAATATTATTAGTAATATCAGGGATGGCCCACAGTTAAATTAGAGTTCTAGAGATAATAAATCTCTAGAGGCGAACTGTTTGATGGAAGCAGAGGCTGAAAAGGCACTTGATTTCAAAAATTACAAACCTATTAAAGAGGAGTTAGTCTCCATAACGCATAAGGCAATATGACACCGGGACTCATACCATTCTACTTGACAATGTATAATATACACTGTTATTAAAGTAAAAGGGAATGGGCCTTTTCTACTCTAGGAACATTTGATATTTTCAAATTAAAACTAACTTTGTTTTATTGAAGTTTAACCAGGGAACATGGACAGAATTAGAAATTTTATGAAACATTTTATTTTCAGGGAATTTCTCTGGTGACATAACACTTGTCAATGAAAGATGAGCTCTTAGACTAAAGAATTCATTGATCACATTACACATATACTATCCATTTCCAACCAGCATTTTAAGCTGACCTTTGGCAATTGTTGATTCATGGTGCATTGGCTGGTTAATTTAACTCCAGTTAATGTTTGCCATCGTCATAAAATAAAATAATTATGTTGTTGTTTTCCCTTCTTGCAATTTGTACCTCAGAAGTTCTCCCAGAATCGGTGAAGACTGGGTCCTGCCCATCAAAGAGATGAGATTGATATTTTGGGTGAATCGGTTTTCACATAACTCTTTCCCATCCATATGTAATGCTAGTGGTTCACATATATGATTTCTGTGGTGCTTCCTAAGTTCTGACACAGGGCTTCCATTGTTCACCTGCAGCCCTTGCAGATAGCACAGGCCCGAAGATTTCTTCTACATAGTGTGAGGTCTTCTGCTTCCTTTCCATTGCATCTGCCCTGAGGACACTCACCACATCTTAACACAGCTGTCCACAGTTCTCCTCACTACTCTCTGCTCCTGTCTAGTTGCTCCTGAGATAAATAACCTGTGCCCATGGTTAGTGAAATAAAACATCTGTCAAGAATTTATTTTCAATTGTGCTCATGTAGAGAGGCTTTGAAACAAGGAGAGTGTATGCCTGCCATGCAGGAAGTCTCACCTCAACTGGTTGGCAGCAGGGTGAAGGCTGCCTTCTTATCTGATCTAGAAGCCATTCCCCTTGCCTAACTGAGAGGAAGAGCAACCTGTCTGCCAGTGATTGCTCCTTGATTGAGGTTATGCCTCCCTTAGGAGATGATGCTTTAGAATTGGTGTTAATAGACAATGCTCAGAATCTTTTTCATTTTGTTGAGACACACAGAACAATTGCTGGCTGTTTTGGCAAAAGGACAGAAAGCATTTGAAAGAGCACTGTTTCAAAGCCACAAAAAAGATTTAAAACCCTAGTTTAGGAAGGAAATCAAGAAATACCTAAAGTCATGACTGATGATACTTTGCCCAAGTGACAGAATATCATCAAAGTGGCAGATAAAACCCTAGGAATAATTAGGGATGGTGAAATACATAAAATAAAAACATTCAAAAAACTTATAATTTCACATAAAACTTAGTATTTCTCAAAACCTAGAAAATTTAATTTGACTGTTCTACTGGGGAGTCTCCTCTGAGTTGTTATTTGAATAGCTAGCACGTGATGTGATGTACAATCCATATATTGGATCAAATCAATAATTTATTTTATTTTTAACCTTATTGAGCTGTTTAAGGGGAAAAACAAATTTCTCAGTTTGTCCTGCACCACTGTTAAATGCTGACTTGAGCAGTTTCTCTACTTCTATTGTATGCTTATCTCTATAAAGACTATAGTTTAATTCCCTGTAGATTTCTGCTAATTGGTCTTGAGGGAAAGCTGAGCCCTGACAATATGGTCTTTCATCACCACTGCCAACATAAATAAATGGTTCCTCTCTGGTCCATAAGAGTAATCTGAGAGGAATTTAAGTTTTTGATAGACTTCTAAGCAATGAGCTCAGTGGTGAAATAATACTCTTTCTACCAAAAGACACAGGATTTAAGGCAGCCAGAACTTATGTAATGAAAAGATGTATGCAATAAAAGTATTTAGCCCTTTATATTGAAGAGTGGTCAAATCTGGCCAATTCCAAACTCGATTTATCCCCTAAATGAACTGAATATAATTTGAAAGTTATCTTCACTGCCAGAAGTGAATATGAGTATTATCCAAGATGAAAATGAGTTCTACTTAATGTTTTTTTTAAAGTTTTTAAATTTTTTAATTAAAAAAAATTTTTTACTTGAGCATGGGTGCCTCCTTAGATCACATCATATAAAAGCATCACTATGGAACTAATATTGTTGGGTTTTACCCATAATCTCAGTGAGTTTCTTAAGGTCTATACAACTAGTGTTCCCTAAAAGAAATTCAATTATTCTATGATAAACGTGTCAATGAGTTTTTCTCCAGTTGGTCACCATACATTTCTCAAATTAATGTTTTCTAGTAAAAATAAAAGTTCAGGATCTTGAAGACAAATAAATTTTAAATTTATTTTATTATTTGCTATTAATCATTAATATTGCTATTATTTTTATTATGCAAATAGCATCTAAGATAGAAATATAGCCATACAGCATTGGAGAATCGAATTAGCCATAGAAAGAGGCTAAGGAGTCAGAGAAATGTGGGCAGTACAGACAGTAACAAGAGGGAGGAATCGGGTTTCTATGTGAGATAGCTGCCTATATATTCTAAAATACCTTCTCTCTTTCAGTTGTTTATATAAAGATTTCAAATTTTGATTTATATATAATTGTGTTAAAAGTATAGAGTAAAATTTAGCAGTTTAGAAGCTTATGTTATATAAAGATAATTGTGAAAAATAATTACAGAAAGTTTATTGAGTTTAGATAAAGTGATAAGAAAGAAAATAAAGCCAGATAAGAGTCCACCTCTTCCTTCTTTCCTTCTTTGCTTCTTTGCTTCTTTCCTTCCTTCTTTCCTTCCTTCCTTCCTCCATCCCTTCATCCCTCTGTCTAACCCTCCCTCCCTTTCTTCCTTCCTCCTTTTTTCTTTCTGTCTTTCTTTTTCTTTCATTTGTGGGGCTGTAGAAGGGAACCTGAGATCCTCCTGCATCAACCTCCCAAGTGCTTCTATAGCAGGTGTGTCCCACCATACCTAGGAAGTTTCTTTTCTTTTCACTTGAGAAGGCAAACACAGTTTTGTTGTTCCATTTCTAACTTTGTAAGTGTCTAGCAGCTGCTGTATTTTAATGTTAGGAGAGTTAATATAAAAAATATAGGGGAATTATTTAGAATTGATTGTTTGTTATTGGTAAATCAAATGACCACTTATTTCAAGTATTAGTTTATAGCCCCCTAAAATTTCATTTTCGTTGCAATTGAGTGATAAAATTCCATTCAATTCTAGTATCATTTCACAATAATATTTAATAATAGGTTCATTATTATTATAATAAGGTTATGAAGATGATAAAGTAAGCTGAGTGTTAGTCCTGTCTTGACTGTCAAGTATATATGAGCATAAATGTACACATACTTGGTATATGAACTAAAATATCTACAGCACACAGTAGAAAGTTATTGTTCTTATTAATCAGATTGCACAGAAAGAAGACATTATTTTCTAGACTGTGCCATGAGGCCCACCTGGAGTTAACTTTTGAATAGGATATTAAGAAGCAATTAGAATTTGGATGTGGATAAAACACACAGAATTAGGATGAAGGACCCTGAGAAGAATATGAGGATAGAGGAAGGGCATGTGAGGTGGATCTGTGGTCAATGTCAGTACCCAAGCACACACACACACACACACACACACACACACACACACACCAAAAAAACCTGCTCATGAGGTATTGATGTAACAAACCTTTATTCCCAGTACTTGGGAGGCAGAGACAGGTGGATCTCTGAGTTTGAGGGCAGCCTGGTCTACAGATCGAGGCCCAGGACAGTCAGGGTTGCACAGAGAAACCCTGTTCCAACACACACACACACACACACACACACACACACACACACACACACACACACAGAGAGAGAGAGAGAGAGAGAGAGAGAGAGAGAGAGAGAGAGAGGTGTTGCAGATAGCATAGCTGATGATGGAGCAATATTTAAAGTAAAAAAGACCATCATATTTTATAATGAGGCATGAATGCACAAATATCTATTCAATTTCATAGTTATCTGGTTTAAATTTAAAATTAGAATCTATATAGGAATATTTCATGCAAAATTAAGAGTAAAATTAAAGCAAATTTCTAAGTTTTCACTGAGGAAAAAATGACCTTAGAATAATATTTTTCTTAATTATAAGTTGTAAGCAAAGGATAGAGCTCATTACTGAAAAAGTAAGAATGTGAATAAGACTATCTTTTTTCTAGGTCTTACTTATTTATACTTAATATTGCTCATATTTCATATCCCTTCCACAAACATGTATTTGTTAATTTCTTGTTCACGACTTCCCAAAAAGTAGCATCCATCTCAGAGTTCAATTATCCAAGTAAAATAAATTTCTCTAGTACAGCCTTAATATGCCTGGATCTGCCAGGTAAATAATCTGTCATCTACACTCAGACCAAGAATTTCCATTTCCATGCAGTATGGTGAAAATGGATGTCTCAAATGCAAAGATCCCAGTCATTTCTCAAGTGCAGGTAATCAAGATTTGCCTAGCCTATTTTTGAACAACTTCTGTTTACCATATCCCATACTCTTCATGAATAAAGAAAATACTTCTTGAATCTCTATTAACTCTTTGTTCTATAAAATATATTAAAAGGTGGCCTGCTTTTAATGTACTCTCTTAAATGATAATGCTACCTTTGTAACTGGGAAGAGAAGCTAAAATATTTATTCGCAATATAATCTTTTAAAAATAAAACTGCCATAATGTACTTACACATTATTGGTTTACTATCATTTTCTGATTTTAATCTCAAAGTCTTTTAGAATGAACCATCACTCCCACTCACAATACATCTAACATGGTCTCTGTTGCAGGTTACTTAGTTATAGAAAATCCATCAAGTAAGTTTGTGAACTTTTCCCCTTCATTTTGAATATCAACTTTAGATTCACTGGCTCAATGACTCCTAATGTGTGGCTCTCTTTCTGAATGTTTGCTGGTGAAGCCTTTAAGCTGGATATAAATTATAAAAGCATGACTAATTGCATGGTAACTGGAGAAATGCTTTCTCTCTCTCTGGGGTGAAGCCTGCATGTCTGTATTTTAACTTGGGAAGTAATATGGGGATATTTAAACTCCTTTGGGCTTAAAAGCCATATCATTATGAGAATGAGGTCACTGCAATATTTTATATCTTCTAAAACCTTGTAATGTGCAAAATTCTTCTCTATGACAAAGAGATATTATGTGCATTTAAGAGTCAATGATAACTTCATGCCCTCACATTTACTTGAAAACTTTTGTTCATTAAAATAATACTAAGTCTTTCCTTTGAAGTCACTGAAAAATTGAAAGAATTTTGTGTGATGAATTCAAAGAAAGTGAATTTAAAGAGGAAAAGCTCCTCTTGTAAACAGGGAAGGGTGACTTTAAAGGACTATGTGACTGGGGTTTTACAGTGTCCTTTTTGCTTAAATGTTAATAGTGCAATCAGTGCCCAAGATTTCCTTTAAGATAAAGAACACAAGCTAACACAGTTTCATTTAATACCTTTCTTTACTTGGAGGCCAATAAGCAAGAAATCCTTCCTGCAACATGTTGAAGAGCTTTGCACAAACAACAACCTAAAGTTTCAAGAGGAATTTTCGGTATGTTACCAGCAGTTGTCACAACATTGCAAGACCTCCGGTAGTTTCCTGTGTCACATTTCATGTCCATTTTAAGCATGCAAGGCCATGAAGGACTCTGGCCTTGATAATCAATACCCAATTACCAGGTTGATTGTTTAGATAGTAATGTTACCCTGGGTGGCCTCTGGCGCAACCTCATCAGAGTATTCACCTACTGTGTTAGGAGAAGGTGATCTTCTTCAGGTCCCAGATCCCTGCTCTTTCATCCTGATGGAGGTGAAAAGGCAGAATGATGGATTCATTAGTTTATATTTGTGTATGAACTTTAGATCATACTGTAAATGTAGTTTACATTGAAATAATTGTGTTAGATTTAGGCACTTAATGATTGCTTGTTGCATTTTAGTAGAAGTATATTGAATACTGAATATAATGAGTGCTACTTAGTATGCATTTCTGATGTAAAATGATCAGAAAACAAAGCAGGACATTTGTAGACACTGCAAATATGACAACTTCTAGAAGTATTACAGTATAGATAAGTAATATCTACAGCCAATATTTTCTATTTCTAAGTTATTATTAAATAAATGCTTTATCCTACATGGAGATATGTAAAACTAAGACCTCATTGTTGAAGTTATTTTAAAGTTGAAAATAATTTCACTTTTTAAACAATTTTCTCATGTTTTTGTTATAAAATTTTATTGATTAGCTGCATATTATGTATCAATTAAAATGAAATTATTTAGAAACATAAAGGTTATAGGGGTAATTTATTTTGAGATTCCCAAGTACTTTATCAAATGACATGATTATTTTACATTGTGAAAGCAAAGTAGATTTCATAGTGTACCCAAAAGGCTGTTTCTACTTTTTTTCATGAATTTCTTAGTGGGTGAATGTCTGGATAAAGAACCAGACAATTGGCTGAGATAATTCAGGATTGTACAATTTCAGTGTTGCAGGGAGAAATAATAGGAATGTGAGAAGATGAGTGGATTCCCCCTGCTGCTTGCTGGTTTTGCTTCTTTAGTATTACTGGGTGGGACTTAGCAAAATCAAGGCAACCATGAAGCCCCCTTAGCATTTATATAGAAAGAAATTTCAATTTTTCAGGGGTAAAGAATAATTTTATTAGAATAGGAGCAAACATAATTGAATTATTCATGACTAAGTGGATAAGTAGCCATATTAGAAAATGTATTTTCATGTTTTAAGAAAAATTCTAGCTTTTGGAGGGGGGAATGAAATTGTTTTATAAAACAAGTGAAAAAATCCCAAATCATTCTTATTTTAATGCTTTATTAAGGTTTTAATATCTAGATTTTTATCTCATAATAAACATACCTATTGGATGTACAATTTTGACTAATCTTTGAACTCAGGTTTATTTTCTTATTCTTTAGTTCTTTATTAGGGTTTGTACTATGGCACAAAATGTGTTTGACACATTGGTACTCATCAATTTAGCATTTACAAGCTAAATGTTTTTAGAAAAATTACTTAATCTCTCTGCCCTTCAATGTCTTCATTTTTAAAAAGATATGATCAACCTTACTGAATTGAGAATACTGAAGTTATTCATGTATTCATGTACAAAATGGTTGGAAAGTGCTTGACACAAATATCAGTTACTAGGATGGTAATCTCCACCACACATAAACTCAGATTAGAGTAAGAACTGTGGAGATGAGAGACATGTTTCAAACAGGACAAATGCACCATGATTGAGATGTGCATAAAGATGTGAGGATCAATGCTAAATGCTAGTTAGGAAAGACTAATAAAAGTGTAGCATGGGCTGAATCCCAATGAAAAGATAAAGGGGGAACTATTCCAGAGAGAGCATGAATAAATACAAAAGCATGAAGAAGGCCAAGTAATCTTCTCATCTTGTTCCCACGGAGAAGACATCAAACAGGAACAGACAGATCTACCCCCCAAATATCACTGAGGCTCTGTGTCTTAATAAGAATAAGACCACCCAGTATCATGATGGTATTCAAACTATCAGCCTGGTGACCGAGTGTTGGTTACCAAAGCTACTGTTACTTAAAACTATAAATGGAAACTTGTATGTGAAATAATTCCAGAGTGTATCATTTTCAAGTCAATTTCCACCACACCTTTCCTTCCCATGCCCCTTTCAATACTTCTAAAACCTTACTACAGGGAGGCTATTTGGGGTCTTTTAATTCTGTTAACATTTATAAGCCTTGTTGTTTATACCCTGTCTTGCCCATGACATATACCCATATGAAAGGAACTCTTCAGAATTATTTTTTTCTTTAGTGGAAGGGAGAAAGGAGAATTGTTGAATAAAAAGAAATAACTTATAACTACATTAAAATGGAAAACACAGTTTATTATCTTTACAGAAGTTAGAATAATTTCATGAATTGCACTCATCAGCCCAACTAAATAATCAATACATTTTCTTTCACCAGCTTCTTTAACGATGCATTAGAAAGAGCAAGACAGACAGACTGCATAATTTTTTCTTTCAAATGTCAACAGTAGGTCTTCCCAACCCAACCCAACCCTTCATCTGTGTCAGATCGTTCTAAACCACACCTTTGCATTCCACTATCAATTTAACAAGGCCAACAGAGTGCGGTAGTGACCTTTGACATCTTCTCAAAATGACCAGGGTTGCACCAATTAATAGGCATGAAATCACACTGTCTGGGGAGAAAAAACAAAAAATAAATCATTCAACTCCCTTCTTCCCTCTAAAGAGGCATTAACATATTAAGTAACAGTTGTGTGCACCTGATGAAGCTGTGGGTAGCATGTGGCACCTTAGTGCCCCCCAGAGCTCAGTGAAATTGTCTCAAGGGAAAGCCATAATCTGGCTGATAAAAATCATTCAGAGTAGTAATGGTGACATTTGGGGGAAATCATTACTATTCATTTGGTCCTGTTCCAATATGTAGGATAGGAATTTTTAATTAATTTTTTTTCTAAAATGTGGCCTGGGAGAATAGCTTTGCAATAGAGATGTGTGCCAAAGACAAGGCTCAGGATTCAATCCCCAGTACCAGTGACATGAAATTAAAAATAAATAAAAACCAAAAACCATCTACAGCTAGAATGATAGTTCAGTAGGCCAACCCTGTAAGCTCGAATTGGATGCCTAGAACTTATGTAAAAGCTGTCCTATTTTGTCAGGAGTTCATAATCCCAGCATTGGGGACATGGGTACAGAGAGATTCCTGAGGCTAGCTGACCAGACAGTATAACTTACTTGGTAAGCCTTGGGCCAATGAGAGATACTTTGTTTTAAAAAATGTAATAAAATAAAATTGGCCTATGGTACCTCAAGAAGGACACCTACAACATCCTCCAACATGTAGATGTACACACATGTGAACATACATACACAAACTAAACAGATGAAGGGTGTAAAATAAGGAATTGTACTTCACTAAGCACAATTTCATATTTACCAAGTAAAACTTTGCAACAACTTTGTTTTCACAGGAATTACCAAAATTTCTTCAAGATCTTTCTTCAACTGATGCTGATCTCCCTTGGAACAGAGCAAAAAATCGCTTTCCAAACATAAAACCATGTATGTGCTATTCTCATTTGTGTTCTGATTATGAAGTATGTTAAAATGCCCAGCATCTTAACTTTTTGCATTTCATTACGGTTTTCTTCCACATTAATTGAATTACAATAATACACCTCATTAATGGTGACTTTCAAGTTGTATCACATTTGCTTTGTTCCTAATTACTGAAGTTAATTTACATGGTTTTCAGTTTGTTCACACAAGGTTCATTTATGCAGGTGCAAGAAACTGTAGATTGACCTGCTTTTTAGCTTTGTAATTCAAGTCTTTTAACATCTTCCTATTGAGCATGTCTCAAAGGGAAGCGAAATTCACACTTAGCTTTGTGTATTAGATTTCCTTAAGAGCACAGTACTCTAATGGAACATTAAAATGCCTTACAAAATAAAAATTGATGATTAGAGTCAATGCATGTTTACTGGAATTGTTTCTGTACAGAGACAGAAGTGCACCATTTTTTCAATTCAAGGAAAATAAAGTGTTACTGTTTTCAGAATTAATGATGGTTTACAGAGGAGGATTTGATAACCCTGTGTTACTAATATGTCTTTTTTTTGTAGCCTTTGAATACATGTGCCTGCTTAATAGAATTCTGATCCAATACATTTTATGTTAAGAAATTAATAATATTGATGCCCTGAAACTTTGTTCCAGTAGATACTGGGAAGCATGGTTGGGTAATGCAGCCCTGTAATCTCAAGTAATTGGGAAGTTGAATGTTTGAGAACAGCTTCCTCTATCAAAGGAATTCAAGTCCCATGCTAGCAATGTAGTGAGGCCTTGCCTTGATCTTTAAAAATGTTTCTCAAAGAACTGGGAATATAGTTTATCCACAGAAGGCTTTCCAATATGCACAAGTTTAGTGTTTGAACAAACAAACAAATAAACATAATGAGGAAATTCCTACAGCCCCTTATCTAGGGAAGAGTTAACTTAGAGGAGACTGTAATCCCATAAAGAATTTAAATGGGAGCTGGGCATTGGTGGTGCATGCCTTTAATCCCAGCACTCGGGAGGCAGAGGCAGGCAGATCTATGTGAGTTCGAGGCCAGCCTGGTCTCCAGAGCGAGTGCCAAGATAGGTTGAAAAGCTACACAGAGAAACCCTGTCTCGAAAAAAAACAAAAAACAAAAAATTTAAATGGGAGGAACCAGAACACAGGTTGATAAATTAATCACGATGGCTTCAGAATTTAGAGGATTGTGATATCAGAGGTTACAAACCACACAACCTGCAGTGTCTAGGAAGTAGAATAGAATGAAAAGCAAATAGCAAAAAGCAAATCCACTGGAGATTTCTTCTGCAACAACAAATTAGAGGAAAATGACTTCAGCAGCAAGATGACAAACTGTGATTTGAGAAGTAAAAAATATGACTGATAATCTCTAAATGTGTGAAGTCATGAACTTTTCAAACATGCTTTTTATTCTAACCTTAGGAAAATTAACTTGAATTGGATACAACTTAAATTTAAGTGGGAATGTCCGTGTTGTTAGAAGTATTTGCACTAAATTTCTTCTAAACTGCTTGCAACATGCTTATTTAAGTGGCATTCTGTGTAAATAAATATTATACTCTTATCAAAAGGCAACTACCACAAATTGGTTAGTATTTAGTTCTAGTTGCATTAGAAAATAGGGACTAATTTGCAATGTGTCATATAAAGTCACTCAAATGAGTATGATTTCTAAGAAGTTTATCACTTAAAGTATGGAAATTTGACTTCTTCCATAGTTTGTCATGAGGTTTCATTCTTTTGTAATGAAGATCTTAGTTATTAATCTAGTCCCCATTTTGGTGGAAAGAAAGTTCAGGCCCTCAGCCTCTATTTTATGATGGGAAAGGAGCAAGAGTGGTTGATAGAAGTAAATGATCAGACTCAGAATAATAAAAAGGAGCAAAGAGAATTAATATCTCAACCTCCATTCTGAGGCTAAGACAAAAATAATGAGACTTCCTGAGATGCAGCTCTGTTTGTTGCTGCCTGTGTTTGTGACTGCCGGCAAACTATTTGTGTCTGTCTGTTCCTTGTAAGGCAAATAGATTTGGTAAAAAAAAGGTCACATAAATCACTTTGTCCAGCATTGGAACATAGAAAGCATTCAGCAAATGATAGCCTTTATGATTAGTAATCAACTGATCACTTCCTTTTAAATGCTAATAACTTTCTGAGTGGGTAAGACTGTGATACATCTCAGGGCACTGAATTCTAAGACCCCATCTCTAGCTAGGGCTAGAAGTTCATCTGTAATGTCACAGCCATGTCTGTAGGAAGGACAGTATATTTTCACAAACAAGCCCACACAGACATAGATACACAAACACTAGGTAAGCAACTGTGTGTTGCTATTGTGCTTGCCCAGGATCCATAAAACAGGAAAGCTATGTCTTTCTTCATAGTTATTGAATATAGTTCAATAGAATCTGAAGTTTTGCTTGAGCCAGCTTTGAGTAGTGCTGTGTTTCCCCCTGAGTAATGTCAGAAGGAGAATTTCAAATATCACAGTGCCTTTTGGAAGATATTAGCTTACAGGGCTTTGGGATACTAGAATTAGCAGCAAATACTTGCAGAAGTGATTTCCAAATCTCTGTCTGACAGGACACTCTGACCTTAATACCCCAACACCATGAGAAAAAGTTTAGCGTCTTAATGACTCGGCTTGTTATAAACAGGCATATTGAGTGAATAGCAGCCCGATGGCTTCCCCTCCTGAATACAAGACAAGCTACAATGTCATTAGGCAGATCTTAAAAAACTCAGTAACACTGACACAAAGAATTTGTAGAAATTTATCTAAACACTAGGAGTCTCCGAACTTCAATGCATTGATCATAATTTCCCACAATAGAACTAAAATAGTTTAAATAATTAATATTGTCATATGCTTTAATTGGAGAACATGGGAATAATAGTGAATAATTCCAGTAAGCGTTCACATTTTTTTCAAGAGAGTTATACAAAATAAATATTATAACTGCATGGTACAGTTGATGCCAGTAAGAACCAGAGAAGCTAAGTGGTTCACTCAAGACTGTGTAAGAATTCACAGCCAATCCTCTTCTAATGTATCTTCCATGAAGACCACAAAGCCTTTATTGTTTTGTTCCCTGTGCTGATGGCCCAGAGCCCTACAAAAGCTAAGTAAACAAGTACTAGACCACTTAGCTGCACAACCCAGTCAAACCTCCGAATTATTCAGTCAAAGATACTTTGTGATTCCTGTGTTTAAAGTTATCAAGTTATAAAACAACTTAGTAGAAATTCTCAAGAAAATTTCTGGTAATTCTTTTGGAAAAAAATTACTACTAGGTAGAGAATATCTACTTGATGAAGGTATTTCTTAAAATAAACTCAACAAAAATAGCTAGAGATTTTATGTTAAAGAAAGACTAGGCAGGTAGTGGGAAACAATAAATGGTTTAAAACTAGACCTAAATATATGGATAATCTAGTACATGATAAAAGTAATATTTTAAACCAAGGAAAAAGAATGGAATATGTTTTAAATGGGACTATTTTGTTGCAGATAATAATAAATAGTAAAAGATAAACCTACATCTCACTTATTTGAAATTTATGAGTATGAGGAAGTCTGAAATACTGAAATGTAAACTAGAAAAATACATTCAAGTTTCAGAAGAGTCTATGAATGAACTTGTAAAAAATAAGAATATTAGCATAATGAACACCCTAAGAAATGTTAAAGAACTTCTCAGAGTGTGCACTGGTAAAATTAAGAGATAATTAGACAGTATCTTTCAAATATGAAAGGTGCACCTGTGATTTGGGGATTTTTACTTTTGGCAATTGCTGTACAAATGCAGTTTTGTAGCATATTGAATAATAAGTGGGATCAATTTAAGCCACAATTAAATAGGGTATGCTATATTAAAATGCTGCACACACACTAGATACTATTGTGTAAAAAGATTAAGTAAATAAATCAGTTTTCAGCAGAAAGTATATGGCACACCATTTGTAGTTCATTTGTAATTATATGTGTAGGAATTCTAGAAATACATGCAATATTTTATTAATTGGTATTTTTGTGTAGTAGAAATATAGGACATGAGGGAATGTTTTTTCAATGTTATAGTCATATATGAATTGCAATTATTACATCATGAACTTTTATACTATTTTCACGGGACAAATGTCTTACCAATTTAAAAATCCTATTATGATTTATGGTTTTCTTTCCTAAGACAATAATAACAGAGTGAAGCTGATAGCTGATGCAAGCATTCCAGGATCAGATTACATTAATGCCAGCTATATTTCTGTAAGTTATTATTTTCATAGATAATATATTTTGATGGAGCATGAATACTAAAATTTTTAAATATTTAAGACAAAAAATTCATTAAATCACTATGGAATAGAAAATGCTGTATTCTTAATAGCAACCATTGATGCATACCTATTTCAGAAGTGAGAGTATGTTGGTTTTAATTCATTATTTATTTCACCAGTTTGTGCAGACAGAACATTTCTTCTTACTCTACCTGACCTTTGCAGCATTTCACAAACTTTGTTAATGTATTCTTTGACCACAAGGTCAACTAGTCTCTCTGTCAATGAAGTACCAGTCAAATTGATAGTCACGTTCAAACAATATAAAAACTTGTTATATACCTTTCCCTTTGAGATATAGAATCCATCAAAGGAATGATGATGATGTAAAATGTATACTCTGTCTAGCCACTCAGTAAACACACATGAATCACCATGGGGGAAAATCGTGACATACTCAGTGTAGTCTCTGGCATATCAGAGATAATCAATCTTACTGAGTCAGACTGAAAACTGAATGAAGTCAATTTGTTCTCTAGTGCTCTTTTTCTCTGTGGTTCTTTGTTCTGCCAGTATTCTTCACTATACTGATTCTCAGACACCTCTGTTCATCCAGAACAGCAGCTCGGCTGACACATTCTTACAATTTTATAATGAGAAGATCCCTTTTGTTCATTTAATGTGACATTCACCTTCGAATGTTTTCTAAATATCCTTGGGAATTAATTGTTAGTGTTTCCAGACACCAATTCATTAATTTTCTCCTAAGGTTGATGGCATTATCTCTAAACAGCTCTATTATGCAATTTCAAGTTAGTCCCTTTATGTTTTTTTTTTTCCTTATTGGCTTTAGCTGGAGTGGGGAGATTAATCATTGTCACCTTGTGAGTCTACAGATACTCAAAGGTTTCCGCTGCTATGCACACTCTCCAGTTTTATACTATTTTCCAATTCTTAGGTATTTTCCTTCTTACTAACCTGCTACTTCCTTCTATTTATTTGAAGTCCATCCTTTTCATTACGTCAAACATACCTCTATTGTATTCATTGTTTCCAAACTTCTGTAAAGTGGTGTGTGTGTGTGTGTGTGTGTGTGTGTGTGTGTGTGTGTAGACTTCATTATAATTCCTTACTCGTCAATATTGACTCTGGAATTATGATCATATATTGGGTCTTATTGTCAATGGAGCAAATAATGGAGAAGTGAAGAATTCTTCACATGTATTAGGGATGGCTTAGTGAAGATATGGGTTTCATCCAGTTTTGATGCTAGATCTCTACTGAAATGACCATGTGAATTTACTATTGTAATGTTTTATTCATTCATCAAATGACTGAATCTTTGGGGTATAGAATTCTTCTCTACATATTATACAGAAGTTTTATGCTTACTAACTTTAATTGTAGGCTAGGCCCTACAGCCTATAGAAGTCCCAATTCATGCAATAATGCCTAGATATCTAGATTTTTAAATATAACCACTGTCTTATTGTTCAAATGCCTCACAGTGTTATAGAACAGGGCAAAGCTAAGTCATCACACTATTTTCAACTTGCCAATAAGTAGATCCAAATCAATACCTAATTTCTGTAATGTTATTTCAAATGTGAAACAAATGGTCAAACAGGAGATGGTATGGGCTCACAGAGACAGATGTGGCAGGCACAGGGCCTGCAGGGGTCTACACCCAGTCCTCTGAATATGCTTATGAATGTTAGCTTGGTGTTTTTGTGGAACTCCTAATGGTAAGAATGTGTCTCTGACTCCAGGTACTCTTTTCCTCCTATTAGGTTGCCCTGTCATTTTGCCTTGTCTTATTGTATCTTGTTTTTTTTTTTTTTTTTTTTTTTTTTTTTTTTTTTTTTTTTTCCTGTTTGGCTGTTGTCTCTCAGAATCCTGGTCTTTTCTGAAGGAGTGGATCTGGGAGAGGGGGAGGTGGGGGCAGGGACCTGGGTAGAATGGAAGGAGGGGAACATGTGGTTGGAATGTATTGTATGAGAGAAGAATCTAGTAAGCATAAGTACACAGATTACACAGTAATGTTTATGAATCTCTAGTATTATCTCTAATTGTTATTGTTGTCAGTAGGCAACCAATAGCAAGTGATAAGGTGGTTTATGCAAGTGTTGGAGAAATGTCTCAGTAGTTATGAGCACCTGTGGCTCTTGCGGAAGACTCAGGTTCTACTCCAGCACTACATAGTAGCACACAAAAATACCTTCCCTAAAGGCTGCAGCAGGTTTGAAGAGGAATGTGTGCCAGCAGCTAATCACACTGTGTGTTACCTCAGAAGCACCTAATGAATCTATGTTACTTCTATTGTAGTGTGTGTTTAGTTACAGTACATTTTATACTTCATGGCTAGTAATTCAGAGCCAAATCTTAGAAACTAACTTAAAGGCAGCTGTAAAAATAATGCCATTTAGGGTCAGTGATGATGATGGGAGTTGAAACAGGCCATGAAACTCACACTCTTTTTCTAATTATTATAGAGCTTTAAAAAGAGTTAAACTGTGTGTTTCACTTCATAGAAAGCTTTCTAGCTAATAGGTCTCTTGTCAAAGAGAAAGTGAGTTTTATACATCAATACTCAAAGCCAGAGGCTAAGTAGGCAAAAGAAGCAACATGCTTCTCCAACTCTAATAAAATGTGAAGGAAGTACCTCGAACATTTCCTCTTATTCAGCATTTCACTGCTCTTTAGACTTCCTTTAAAATCATTGCCTTAACCTGAGAAAAGCTTATATCTAGTTGTCCTCTCTATATGAAAAGCAAGGTGTAATGTAGCTGTATATATGATGAATTAAGGAAGATACAAGCAATAAGAGACATGATTAGAACATGGGTCATTTGACCTCAAAGCCTTCATGGATCACCATAGGATATGCCTTCTCTAAACACATTTCTTTTTAGAAAATTTAATTAAATTTACTTTTTGACCAAAGAAGAAGAAAAACCTACAACAAAAATAGTGGTGTACAAAGCCTATTTACAATTCAGGAAAATGAACATCATTTAATGTTATTTTTATAAATACTTGCTAAAAGTTTCAAAAATAATAATAATTTATGTGTTTATGCTTAAGTGTTTGCAGAATAGAGTAGAGCTGATAGCATGTGATAATAACCAGCATCAAAACTGGTTCCCCTCTAAGGATGCCTCCTTCCAAACCTGGCTCACCACTGAATCTGCCTCCCCACCCAAAGACACCAAACATAGAGAAGGACTAAGCTGCCTGGTTACAGTTCCCCTCCCTCCTCTCTTTCCAGTCCTTCCACCCAACCTCCCTTCCCCTACTCCCATACACTCCTCTTCCTTTCTCTTCAGAAAAGGTCATTCCTCCCATGTATATCAGCCAGCCATGACATAGCAAGCTGCAGTAATATTAGGCACCTACTCTCCTATTAATGCTGAACAAGGCAACCCAGTAGGGTCCTAAAAGCAGGTAACAGAGCCCCTCTACCCACTGCTAGGAATCCCACAAGAACACTGATTTACACAACTGTAACAAATGTGCAGAGAACCTAGGTCAGTCCTATGCCAGCTCTCTCATTGTCAGTTTAGTCTCTGTGAGCCCCTGTGAGCCCAGGTTAGTTGACTGTATGAGTTTCATTGTGGTGTCCTTGACTCCTCAGACTCCTACAATCCTTCCTTCCCCTCTTTCACAGGATTCCCCAAACTCTGCCTAGTTTGTGGCTGTGGGGCTCTCCATCTGTTATGGAATCAAGCCACTCTGTTGACAATTGGGCTAAACAAGAATCCATGGGTATAGTAGAATATCATTAGGAATCATTTTATTGATATTTTTTTGCCAGTCATCTTTGGTTCTATCTTAAGTCTCTGGGCTATCCAGCCTCTGGGTCCTGGCCCTCCAGGCAGCATCAGGGGTGGGCTCCTTCTCATGGTATGGATCTCAAGTTGCACCAGTCATTGTTTGGATACTCCCATAATTTCTGCGCCTAACCAGAGTTTTAATCATGTCACAGTCTCTTAACCCATTTGAGTTCCTATTCTTGGGATTATTTCATTCTTTCTACCAGCTCCAAGGTCTGTCCCACATGGCCACCTCTATCTGATGGCTGTATTATCTCACTGATAACAAAGGATACAGTGAAAAGACATCCTGTTCATCTTCATCAGCATCCATAGATTGTCTTACTCTTTTTGCTGTGGCCAAGATAAACTATTCTGGTCTCTAATTAGCCAATCCTTCCTCTCTAAGAACATAGGCTTGGGATTTTCTTTCTGTTTTCTGCCCCAAATTGGTGTTATTCTTTGAGAAATGAAGCAAACATATTATTTCCTTCATCTTACAAAAACAAACATTATAATATTATATTATAGATTTCTAATTACTTCCATATTCATCCTGTTGTAGCTTTCTTCTTCTGTTAAAGATTTTAATTTTTAAATTTATGCATATGTGTTTATGTCCATGTGTATTTATATTTATGTATGCCTGAGTTGAGTGAGGTAGGGGCTGCTCATGGAATACCATAGAGCTAGAGTTACAGGTGCTTGTGAACAGCCTGATGTGGGTGTTAGAAATTAAACCCTGGCCCTCTGGAAGAGTTAAAAGCTCTCTTAACTGTTGAGACATCTCTTCAGCCTTCCTTCCCACCCCTTTTTAGAGTCAGGTTTCTTGAACTTCAGGATAACCTGGAACTCCCTCTGTAACTGAGGCTGCCCTTGAACTTCTCATCCTTCTGGCTCCATACCTCAAGTGCTGGGTTTACACACCTACACCATCACACCCAACTTTTTCCTGGAGTACTGTGCTCCATTCACACTAGGGTCCTTTAAGGAATTGTCTAAGCTCACCTCTCATTCTTCTTCTTCCTTGTCTATTATTCAAACAGTTAAAACATGCTTCCATGCCAAGGAAGCTCTTTATAGAATGCTGGTTAACCACTCAGAAAGCTTGAATCAAATGTCATCATCTTTGCCCTTCATTGGATATTCCATCTATACCAAACTGATTGTCTCTCATCAGCTTGACCTGCAAGCTTTGGAACTATTTAGATCACAATCTTTGAATTTACTATCTCCTCCTTCCTGGTGATCTGATGACTTTAAATCAAATCTTTCTACTTAGAACTTCTTCCTTTTTTCCAAATGCAAATGCCAAGTTGTATAACATTTCAAATTCAATATCTAATACTTCAAATTTAATGTATACAATTTGATTCCCTGCTTTTTCATATAATTTCCCTTATCTTGAAGTCTTCCTTTGGAGCCATTGTTTGGTTCATCTGTTTACCTCATGCCATATACACATTTACTATGTGCCCCCATTATCTAATTCTTTGTACTACATTGGATTGTGAGGTTTCTAGTTCATGTTGGAAGTTTGGAGCATCTAAGATAATTCACCATTCAAATGTAGACAATATTTTTAAATAGTCACATCATTTTACAACTAACATATTTCCACTATTGTGGAAAGTAAATATGCTGCTTTAATATAAATACTGATGCTGTGTGTGGAATTGCATCCTTCTAGGGATACTTATGTCCAAATGAGTTTATTGCTACCCAAGGCCCATTACCGGGAACAGTTGGAGATTTTTGGAGAATGGTATGGGAAACCAGAGCAAAAACATTAGTAATGCTCACACAGTGTTTTGAGAAAGGACGGGTGAGTTATATGAAATATCTTCAACAATGTGTTGTTTTATACTTATATTGGTATTTGTGAATGTTCCAGCTGGTCCCTTGTATAGTTCATCAAAGACTTTGCTATCTATAAAGTAGCTTTGCCTTAGTGATTATAAAGAGCAACATTATGATGACCCATGACTTCTAGTTTTCTTTGAATACAGATCAGATGCCATCAGTATTGGCCTGAGGACAACAAGCCTGTGACAGTCTTTGGAGACATAGTGATCACAAAGCTTATGGAGGACATTCAGATTGACTGGACCATTAGGGATCTAAAAATCGAAAGGGTAAATTAAAATAAAAAAAGAGGGAAAGTGGGTATTGTATAAAATATGACTGACTTAAATGTATAAAGTTAAATTTATAGAAGAATTATCCCTTGTACATAGAGCTATGTATTTGACCATGCTTTCCCACTGTTTTGTAAATGTTTTGACACTCACACTGAGGCATGCATGTAACTCTCCCATTCCAAATCATGTGATTACCATATATATCAACCAATTAGCGTCAAACTCATGGGTTGAAACATTAGTAAGAGAAGGAAGAAATTAGTAGAGTATTTGATACATTTATCTAATTACTCTTTATCAATAATAAATTGGGAGTCAGATATTGGGGAAATAACTTGAGTGATCAGAGAGGCAGCGGAGAAGCAACCAGTGACCTCCTATCTCTTTCATTCTTCCATCCAAAAGGGCCAAGATCATCTCTAAGCCCTGCCCTACTACTTCCCATCTCTCTATCTGTCCTCAGTCCCCCAAAGCCTCTATGGTTAATTTTAGTCAGCCAGTAGCTAGCTCTGCCCTCTGATTCAAAGCAAACTTTATTGTCAGAATGGGATCAAAATATCACATAAGCACTGGGTTTATTTTATGTGAAAAAAAACTATATTATTTAAGATAGCAGTCTTCAATACCATTCATCCCTGAGTCCTGAAGTCTTAATGTGTATATGTGCATTGTGTATGGTCATGTATTTATGAACAGACTTATGTGTGGTATGTACAAAGGTTCACCTGAACATGAGGGTACACACATTTAAGTAGACACATGCATGTGGAGGCCAATGGTCAAAGTTGAAAGTCTTTGATTGTCACCTTTGCATTCCCAGATAGAGACTAATATTGAACCTGAAGTATATTTTTAGTCTTAGTATATTGTTTAGACTGGATGCCCAATGAGTTTCAATGGTTCTCTTGTCTTTGACCCTGCCTCCCCCATGCAACATTGGGGTTTACAGATATGTGTCACCATGCCTCACTATTCATGCTCTATTGGGGATCAGAAAGCTGGTTCTCATGTTCTCATGGCAGCCATCTCTCCAGCTCCTAGATTTTCTTTTGAATCAAGAACTACCACAGAAGAGAAAGTACTGGCTACCACTGTGTTATTATAGTATATAACTTCCTCTTTATGTAAGGTCTTTCCCCTTTCTGACATATTAGACACTCAGTGCCCTTGTTTTATATAAATAATGAATTTAATTACTTTGTTGTATGGTATTTATTTATTTATTTACTTATTCATTCATTTATGTATTTATTATGTACACAGTATTCGGTCTGCATGTATCTCTGCAGGCCAAAAGAGGGCACCAGACCTCATTACAGATGGTTGTGAGCCACCATGTGGTTGCTGGGAATTGAACTCAGGACCTCTGGAAGAGCAGCCAGTGCTCTTAACCCCTAAGCCGTCTCTCCAGCCCTTGTTGTATATTAAATAGTTTCAAAATCTAAGCTCTGTAGAATACCATGTTACATGAGAATGTATTTTATGATTTACCTTCAGAATATTTGAAGATCTTTTACTCTCACCATTCACAATAGCACACAACTTGCTTTTTATTTCTTTTGTTATGTGCTGGGCATTGAACCCAGAGTCTTCTGTATGCTAAGCAAAAGCTTTGTCACTGATCTGCATCAGCATCCTTAATCCTGTTAGTAGTAACAGTAAAAGATCACATGAGTAATTAATAAACAGAATTTGCTCTATTTAGTAAATGATCATCTTTATAAAGTCACCTGTGAAAGCTAAGACATTGGTCATCTTTGTCCAGCATGTCACTCTAACTAATGGTGCCACTTTTAATCTGCCACCTTGACTAGCATGGGGATTACATGACTGTCCGACAGTGTAACTTCACTGGTTGGCCTGAGCATGGGGTTCCGGAAAATACCACTCCTCTGATTCACTTTGTGAAGTTGGTGCGAACAAGCAGAGCACATGACACAACCCCTATGGTTGTACACTGCAGGTAAGTAAGATGACTGTAGAGCCTACCAAATGCCTGTGGTGGTCTTAAATCTGATGAAGCCCTGTTATAATCATGATGGCATTTTATTTTCGTAGAGAAGGAGGGTTTAGACCAATTTCAGCTTATAGTTTCCAAGCTATGATTAAACCAGAATGTAGCTTTCTAAAAGTCTAAGTGACAGAGGGAAGGTGAGTGCAGAGTTAATGTGTCACAGAGCAAATTTAAATCTTGGTCCTACCTCAACTTGATGTGCCATGCTTTGTTTAAGCCCATGAAAGGCCTTCCCCTTTCTGAATGGAGATGGAGGAGGAGTGGATGGGGAGGGCGATAGGTAGATGGGAGTATGTTGGGTGAACAGGAGGAGAGGAGGGAGGAGAAACTGTGGTCAGTATGCAAAATAAATGAAAAAATGTTGATTAAGAATAACATTTTAAGAAATCTCCATCAGTACATGATTTACTTTTTTAATCTATTAGCTGGATGATACTTCTTAGAGGCCCCTGAGTCATTTAAAAATCATGTCTATCACTTACCATGTGTGCATATTTCTGATAAAAAAGTAATATGGCAAAGTATCTTCTATGTCTAAAGATAGTTTTGATAAAATCAATATTCAGATAGTCTCCAGCTGAGAAAAAGAAACTTCTCAGGATGTAGCTGTACCATACTTCACTATCATCGTTACCCTCAACACACCTTGCTTATCCATTGCTGAAAATGGTCCCTGTGCTCTCATCCTCTTTGCAGTGCTGGGGTTGGAAGAACTGGGGTGTTCATCGCTCTGGACCACTTAACGCAACATATAAATGACCATGACTTTGTGGATGTATATGGACTGGTGGCTGAGCTAGGGGGTGAGAGAATGTGCATGGTTCAGAACCTGGTAAGCTATCAGAGCTCACACTAGATTTGTGGTTGTCAGCTCTAGAATTCCTACATGGGATCATCTTTGTGTAACATCCTGCATTGTGAGAACATATTTTCCTATATTTATAAATGCTGGAGGAGGAGTGCAGATTATGGAAGAATTAAAGATATGACTGAGTACAGATACTGTTCATCCTAATTGTTACATGTGGGTGTGTAGAAATCAATTTGCAACACAGATTAGCATTTAATATTTAGCAACTTTGAAGAGTGTGGAACATAAATTCAAAGCAATCTCTTTAAAATATGCTAAAAGCTGTATGTAGTTGGAGAAACTGACTAAAATATTGATTTTAATGAGTTTTTGTATATTTAATTTGTCCAAATTTATGTCTGTTGTATATTAGTACTAGTGATTATTGCAGTGCATTATTAGCTAAAGAACTAGGGATTTTCATTACTTTGGGTTATACATATTTTTCTGTGTTAATAAAGTATAAGGCATAATGGAAATGAGACCAACAGTCATCTGATGTCTACTGTGTTCCTATTAACATATCAGTTCCTTTACATATATTGTCTTATGTAGTCTTAATGTAGTCTTTATTGATAAATTAGGGGCCAGGAAACCAAGCAACAATCTAGTCTTACTATGCTCTACTTTACCATCAAAGAAATAGAAGTTCCCAGAGAGAAATGATATTCCAAGGGGTGAGAGCCAAAATTCAAACTCTCATCTCTTTAACTAAAATATATGTTGCTCCTGTCTGTTACTTTTCACTGGATTTGCACACTACATAAATACAGAGATTTCTACCAGTAAATGCAAAACTTGTTACACTAGTTTTTTCTAGAGTATCCATTGAAACACAAGTGGCACCAAACATTAAAATCTGAGAAAGTAGAGGTGATGCTGTACATAAGAAAGGAATCAACTTCTGAATGTGGAATTTCTTAGAGCCCTTAATCTTCTGTGCATTGAGAATAACAAATAGTGTCTCTTTTGTAGCATTTTTCACACTTGTGAAGCCTCTCAGTATTTTTGGACTCCAAATCTATGATGCCATCCCATTTTACATTACTTCTTTTAGGAATATGATGCCATAGACTACAGCTGTCCAGTCTTATTGGTAAAAATTAAGTATGTAACTCCACCACCAATTATTTATTTCTCACAAATTGTATGATTGTGTAAATTATGAAATGTAAGCAAAGTGAGAAAATGGAAAACACAGAAGAATAAGTAAGGGACACTTCGTTCAAAGTTGTGATAACTGTTTGGGCTTCATAACTGTTTACATGCTTTCTTAAAAGAAACTACATGGGGGACAAAATAAGCATATTTTAGGTTAGTTATAAGTTTTACGACAAGATGCCTCAGCAGTTAAGAGCAGTTAGTGTTGCCTGTGTGTGCAAGATTTCCTTGCATCCCCTTCTTGCAGAAAAACAAATGCTCTGGAGCTCTGTCGTCTGTCTTAGTTCCCTGACATTATGCCCCATCTAGCTTTTCTTTGTAATAAAAACAGGATCCAGCCATTATAAACTGGTGTTGTCTTGCTGAAGAGTCATGGCTTATTTTCTTCTGTTTCACTGAGGAGTGATTTCAGTTTCTGTGAGGAATGTTCCTGTCTCAGCACATGCTACAGTAACTAAACACGGGAGTGGGAAGGCAGGAAACCCAGCACCATCCTGCTGTGAAAAGACACCAAAGGGACTCAGATCATAACTAGGAGAAAGAGATCTGAATAACCATTCCGAGAGAAGGCTCTCAAGTGTTACTACATTGAAATACTATTGATGCTTTGATTAAGGGTTGATCTGGATTAGTCTCTGTCCTGCTCCAGGTTCTCTTAGAAGTTAGCTGGCATAAACTCATGTGGTGGAAGAAAAATAAGTAATACTTTTGCCATATATTTTATGTATGTTACATCCTTTAAATCTCCCAGCATAAGTTTTATGGTTCCTGGGACTAGGGAATTAAGCACCAGAAAAAGACATGAATTCTTAAGATAGTATGGTTGTTTAAGTTAGAAACTGCAGTTTTCATGACATCCCACAGCCTCCTTGGCAATAACATGATGCCAGAAGGATCTTGGAGCCCACAGAACTATCTCACACATCTTGGCTTGCTCTTCTGGCAGAGTTTACACCCGTCATTCTTTCCAACGGAGGAGATGAGATCCCAACAGTCCAAAGCCTCAAATATCAAATGTGACTTCAAGTTCAAATGTGGTTTTAAAGGATATCAAAATTCCTAAGTGTAGGTTATGTTTAAATAATTGAGTTGATTTCTATCTATGTTATTCACTGCATGCAGTGAATTTGAGAAAACACAGATATTGTGACAAGGAGCCTACTGGAAATTTCAGTAGAATTGTTATTTCTTGACTATACTTAATGTCCTGACAAACTCAAATGCTGTAATTTGATCACCGGTGAGTACAAAACTTGAATACAAAACTCAATCTCTAATGACTTTTGCATGCACTCTAAATTATATCTTCCCTAAGTGGTAAAGATTGGGTAATTGTGAAAATTAGCTGAGATGAAGTAAACCAATATTTATTATGCAATTGCCTTGTGCCAGGCACTGTTATTGCCAGTTAGAATCTAGCATTGAGTATCAAAGAGCTCTTCTCCCAGAGAGGTACCTTTCTATTGACAAAACATTACTGGAAAGGTTTGGGAGCCCAAAAAGAAATAAGTATTGCTAATAATGACAAGCTATCCAAGAAGACGATTTCAATTGGGAAATTCCCAAAAGAGTTGAAAAGCATTATACTAATATGTATGATTATGATCACATAAAATGGCCTTTCTTAAGAACTTTCTCAAAATCAATTACATATATATGTTTAAATAAAACATTCAATGATAGTCCTTTACAAGAAGGTCTGTTCCATAGGCATGAGTAAGGATGGTTTCAAATATATTTTTTCATAGTCTGTAAAATTTCCCAGCAATGCAAACAAGTTGCCATTAGTATTAACAATGTAGATGGTACAATATTGGCATGCATATGGAACATTAGAAGTCTTTGCCCAGCACATACATGTTAAGATACTTCAATAGCAGCTAACTTTATATACATGAATTGAGAACAGGTCTTTGACAATGAGCTAGCCAAATGTCTCAGTGATTAGAAGAATTATTAAATATATTTTAAAAGAGCTACTTATTATATGAAAGTGCTCAATCATAAATTTCACAAGTGAATATAGAATCTGTATTTTTAAAAGGTTAACTTTAAATAAGTAGAAATTACTGAATTATGTCTGACACGAGAAAGAAAGCTTGCATATAGATTTAATGGTATTTACCACTTTTCATACAGCAAGAAAACATATACTAATACTTGTCACTTAGTGGCAAACATTTCAAAAAATCAACCTCTTAAACCAGTAAGAAGCTATGAGAGTTTAGCAAATCTTGTGATGGCAATTGGAGAAAGCCATTTATAAACTACAGCATATTCTGTTTCTAACTTAGATAACTCAGATTTGTCAGACATGGTTCATCTTTCGCAGTAACAATATAACCCTCTTTATAAGAAAAATCCCCACCCGGCCATTTGTTTAAACTTTCTGCCTTTGTTTTTTAGGCACAGTATATCTTCTTACACCAGTGCATTCTGGATCTTTTATCAAATAAAGGAAACCATCAACCCGTCTGCTTTGTTAACTACTCCACACTCCAGAAGATGGACTCTTTGGATGCGATGGAAGGTAAGCAGTCACACTGCACACCCAATTCACTAACTTGCTACCTACTGCAGGACTATCAAGTTTATAGTAACTACAATTTAAAAATGCCCAAGAAGCTATACCATGGCGCCTACACTATGTATTTTCTTTCTGTTATCTAAGTTGGGATAATAACTTTCCTGCCTTGAACATTTGCCATTAAAAATTCAGCAGCAATTAATGGAGGGGATAAAGAGGCCATAAATTCTAAAAGGAGGAAGGAAGTGTATATGGGAGGGTTTAGACAGAGGATAGGGAAGGGGGAGATGATGTAATTGTATTACAATCTCAAAATAAAAAAGGATTCAAACTTTTTGACTGTTAACTTTAATAATCTTTGGCATCTTATTATCTTCTATAGGTGATGTTGAGCTGGAGTGGGAAGAAACTACCATGTAAAATTTGTACCAAAGATTGTAACTGGAAGATACAATTTTTAGATCCCAGGAGCCAAAATTACCCCTCTTGATTCTGAATTGAACTGGGCAAAGGAAATCTTCATGCTTCCCATGCTGTGCCTCACTAATTGGAATGACCATTTTTTGGACAGTTGTAGGAAATGCTCATATAAGATAGTTATTTGTTTTGTATAGAATTAAGTATTATGTATCTAAAATGTTTTAAAAAACACACCATACAAGTTTTTTGAGGGTCCTCAATACTTTTTGGAATAAGCCAAATATAAAATTATTATTATCTTAGTGTATGAGTTTCAGTGTGCGTTTTCCCTACATATTGGATTTCATTTTGAACAAAAGCTGTAAATATTAATTTGGTAGTGTTATTTTGGCCAGCAGGGTGCTGACGTCTCTTGTGGATGTCTTCCAAGCCTGTCATCATGATCTGTACTTCCATGCATGCCCCTGTTTTGGATCCTCTGTTTTATGAGTGTGGAGATACCATCTCCTGAGCCCGAACAGCTGAACAGTAACCCCCTGACACTGTAATGATTGCTCAGCCTTTCTTCGGCACACAGTAGCACTGTGAGAAAACCTGAGGCTATTTCAATTGTATCGTGATCTTCAGTTTGCAAAAAACAAAAGGTAATTTTCAAAGTGCAAGTTCACATAGTAAGTTGTAGAGAATCTTTCCAGCCCACCGATGTTTGCACACCACCAGGCATAGGCTGTGCCCCTATATTGTTTGGAAATACACAGTCAAGGGAATCAGAGTGTTTACCCAGTCACTTTACACTCAACACTAACAGTTTTGAAGAATTTTACCCAATGAGTTTAACTCAACACTAACAGTGTTGAAGAATTTTACCCAATGAGTTTACACTCAACACTAACAGTTTTGAAGAGTTTCTGACTAGAAATGTATAAAGATGGAAATAAAATCATACAGTGTGTTGCAAGCTTGTAAACTGATGAGTGACATGCTGCTGCGGTGTCAACAGAAACTTCTGTGTAAATGACATCGGACAGCCTTTACTTCATTCCCAAGGGCTGATTATACAGAAGAGGAATTGGTAGAATTTAAAGAAATTAACAAGGTTGAAGCAAATAAGAGATTTTTTAAAAGAAAAATTTGAATTCCCCTTTCTCTGAGTAATAATGTACTTAATTGAACTATATGAAATTGTTTTTTCATAGAGTCAAAGTCATAACAAATAGCTAGTATTCATTATTCTATTTCTATGATAGAAACTATACATTGTGCTTATTTCTTCCGAAATATACATACAGAAAATGTGATGGTTAATAAAAGCGAATATTAAAGAACTGAATTACCGTGAAGCTTGATTTGAAATATTAATTAGATGTTATATATATTAAGATATCAACCACTATATTATTTATATCATAGATAATGCATATTAGTATAAAACCTTTTCTGTATTAGTAAAATGTAACTATAATTTATAAGCAATATCTAATTCATACAAGATTATTCACAAAAGCACCCTCAAAAATTAGTTCATACGAAATGCACTAGGCAAGAAATGAAATATTTTATTCTCAAAAGCAATCTTGGAATAAGTGGGAAGTGTGCATACTGTTTTTTTTTTGTGGGAAGAAAATTTTTAAAACATACCATCTACAACTCCAATCAGCATGTCTATTGAGAGTTACAAAAACAGCAGTAACAATAGTTGAGAAGTCTAAGAGATCTAAGCTTCACCTAAGCACTCTTAACTGAAAATGAATGAGAACCAGCAGGGTTTTTGTGCTCATGGAAAACAGAAAACAGTCTCTGGAAAGTACTGATTGGATGTACTTTTTAATATAGTGAATGAAAATAAAGAAAAAATTATAGTTTGATTCAAAGACAAGATCAAGCCAGGTAATGTTGGCTCATGCCTTTAATGCCAGCACTGGAGGGGCAGAAGCAGGCAGAACTCTGGGAGTTTGAGGTCAGCCTGGTCTACAGAGTGAGTGCCAGGATGGGCTCCAAAGCTATAGAGAAACTATGTCTCAAAACCCCACCCCCGAAAAAATAAATCAAAGTCCAGATAATTGTCTATAATATCTGCAAATTACATGGATGGAGAATAGTTTTTTAGGGTTTACCTGCATGTTTGCATGTAGTCTGTAATGCAAATTTTTAATAATATCTTCTAAAACAGCCCTGACTGAGCTTTCATATTTTTAATTAAGTCACCTATGGATTACAAAAAAAAAAACTGCTTCGGTGAAAATAAGATGGCCTTGAGAACCACTTGTGCATATACTCCAAGAATATCAGTGTCTGATATCAAGCTACATGCTAAATAATAATGAATTTATAGAAGACATTGGGGTCAGAATAGTTCTAGATCTACCAGAAGCTAATGAAGACAATTTTTCAAAAGGACTTGAATTCTTTACCAGAAAACATTATAAGGTGTTAAATATGCACAGTATAGTGCTATACCAAGAGACTTTAACTGAAAGTAGATAGAAACTTACACATTAATGATAGATGAATGGCTTCCAAATTAGATTTTGGAAGGACCTATGTATATTTAAGTTCTATGTGTGGCTACTAAGTGTGAATTAAAATGAAGAACACCTGTAGCTTTTTAGATCCAATTTGTCAAAGTTCACTGAAGCACATGTACAATAAATGAGCAACATGTGTTTCCTAGGAACCAAATGAAACTGGAGCCTCTCTGAATAGTTCACCAGAGACCGGATCCGGCAGCTGTGGGCAGTGACTTTTCTTTCAGACTGCACTTACATGCATACGTTTCTTCTGTAGCTTTATAGGAAATGCACATAAGTCTATTGCAAAAACACTAATTAAACTTTGACCTCTACATAGAAGAGTGAATCATATTCCACATACTATACCCAACACTTGAATTTTAAAATGGAATTTATGTTCAGCCGAGAATTCATTCTGTAAACCATGCAGTCATTGGGATAACTAAGTCTATGTACAAGGTCTATCAGAAAAATCGTAGTAAATATTTTTTTTTTCGAGACAGGGTTTCTCTGTGGCTTTGGAGGCTGTCCTGGTACTAGATCTTGTAGACCAGGCTAGTCTCAAACTCACAGAGATCCGACTGCCTCTGCCTCCTGAGTGCTGGGTTTAAAGGCGTGTGCCACCACCGCCCAGCTCGTAGTAAATATTTTTAAGAAAATTGGAACACAAAATGACTTGAATTACTCAACTGGATGATACTAATATTTGAAAACTGGAGGTTATTAGGCATAATATCAGCAAAACAGCTTGTCTTCTTAGAACAAATAATATTTCAGGAATATGGACAGAGCGAGGTAGAATCCAGTCTAGTATGTCTACTACTGGAGACATTCTAAAAATCACTTATGATCACACACATGAAAATGTTTTGAAAAGTAATATAAACTTTATGGAGCTAGAATGGTCTTCTACACAGACTAACTTTGAGTGTAATATAAAAATAAATCACAGTACAATGAACAAAATAAAACTTTCAATATTTATTTTAATTAACAAGCCAAGAAAAAGTTTAACAACACCACATTAACAATACCTAATGTAGAACTACAAAATGTTGAGCATGGGAAAAGTTTGTGACCCATAACCTGGAAAATTACCCATTGATACAAACTACAAATGTAATTAATAAGGCTAAATATCCCATTTAAGGACTGTATTGAATTTTGTGATAGTGATTTCATATTTGTGTGTTTCATATGGACAGACTGAAGAAAAGATGTTATCTGAGATAATTAAGTTCTGCTAAATTAGGCCATAGATACCTTTATAAATGAGAGGTCTAAAACATGTTAAAGGAATGTTTGGATTTAAGTGACTATATGGACAAATACACAATGTAAAATGTGATTAAGAGTACAATTTGAGAAAATTTTCATTTTAGATGACTCAACTTGACATGCTGAATAGTGCCTGAAATATTGTCCTTTGAAAATAAAACTAATGTAGTAGAAAGTCTCAAAGTATATTAATATCCTCTATTAATAATGTTCGTAAACTCACATCCTGTTTGAATTTAGTTCCATATACACTGGAGTTATTTGTAGATTCAAAAATCACTTGGTTGCTTTCTAGGACTTTTTACAATATTTATATTATCATTCTACTTAATCCTTACAAATTCATTAAACGTTTCTGGGCCCAATGCAGTAAAGATACTAAAATATTAATTGTTGCACCTTAATTCATATATAAGGGTGAGTGATAAATTAAAAACCAAGTTTCTCTCACAGCTGGATGGAATGCTTTGAATGATGGGAAATGTTCTTATAAAGGAAAACCATAATTATGCTGTGTCCCAAATTCTAATTAGCTAATTAGAGACTTTCTGCTAATCAGAATAAAACAACACAAGGATAACTATGGTTATGAGTCATAGTTTTTGAGAAAATGTGTCACTCTAGGATTAAATGTATCATCTGTGTTAATAAAAAAAATACCACATTCTAGGTGACAAGACATTTAGAAATATATCAATTCCTTCTAAATTAATTTGTAAAGAATTGCTGTTTTCTAAATTCAGGATTGTTTCTTACATGAAAGAGTAGAAATTATCTGAGGCTTGAATAGAAATCTTCGGAGCCCTTAGTCAACTAAACTTCCCCAACAGGTTTGAAATATCTAAATAAAACTCATTACACTGGAAACTCCCTCAATACTTTTTAAATCAAGAAGCCAATGAAATGAGACACTTTAAAATGTCCCATTCACAATGCACACATCTAACTATGAAACTGAACATAAGAAAATGCATGTGACCCCATAGCCAGAATAGTATAGCTGAGAATTTTTTAATCAGAATGCTTGCTTGTCTTGCAGAGGACCTGAGTTTGATTTCCAGAACCCATATTAGGAGACTCATAACCCTTTGCAACTTCAGCACCAGGAACCCAATGCCTCGGGCCTCTGTAGGCACCTGCACACGTCTACAGATAGACCAGTATGCATACCCACAATAAAAATAAAAATAAAAATAATTAAAGCAGAGATGCTGTATTAGTTGCTTTTCCTCTTGCCGTGATAATATACCATGACACACAATTTTAGGGAGAAAGAGCTTACTCTGGCACAGTCTGGTACACTCTATCTCCGCAGATTAAGTCATGGGAGCTGGTGATATTACATCTGCCGAAAGCAAAGAAGGGTGGATACTGGTGTTCAGTTGGTTTTCTCTTTTGTATTTAGTCCAGGGCCCAAGTTCAGAGGGCCACTTTTAGGGTTAATTTTCCTATCTCGATTATCCTAATCAAGACAACCCCTCAAAAGCATGACTGTAGTAGTTTGAAAGAAAATGGCCCCACAAGCTTATAGGGAGAGGCACTATTAGGAGGTGTGGCCTTGCTGGAGTGGCTGTGGGTTACTGGGGGTAGGAGTGGGGGCGGGGCTTTGAGGCTTTGAGGTCTCAGGCTCTAAAGCAAGTGCTAGTAGCTGCTTCACTTCCTGCTGCTTGTGGATCCAGATGTAGAACTCTCAGCTACCTCTGGAGCACCCTGTCTGCCTGCATGCTGCCATGTCTCACCATATGATAATAGACTGAACCTCTAAACTGCAAGTGAGCCAATCCCAATTAAATGCTTTCCTCCATAAAAGTTGGCATGGCCATGGCACTGACTAAGACAGTGGCTGGAGACTTGTTTCTAGGTGATTTTAGATCCTGTTGACAATGCTAACCATCTAAGATGAATAATTAAGAGAAATAAAAGTCATTTTAATATAGCTGTTTAAATGTGATGATAAAGGACAGTGAACATAAATGTTACTGGAAAATGCAAAAATACTATGAAGAAACTCTTTTGTAAATTAGTATTTTTCTTTTTAATTGAATTAATTACCTTATAATTATTAAATATGAATAAAATATACCTTATAGACTTGTTGGAAAAATTGTATGAAATACCTATGGATTATTTTCATAAACCTATCATAGTTTCATGCTCTCCTGCTTGCACAAGTTAAATGTGGAGATAATTATTAACTTCCATTTGTTATTTACTTATTCTGTCCTATAGGAATGTCTGGTAAACAATTGATATTTTAAATATTAAATATAGTACTTGACATAGTCCAAGTGCTTTCTAGAGAGAGCATTCCACAGCTACAGAATGTTTATGCCATCTGAATTTCCATGGCTGAGATTGAACATTTACTCACTGAACTCTCAAAAGCAAACAGTTTCATCAGTGTGTAATTTGCTCATAAAGTTAATGAGCAGTAAAAAGATTATTACTGATGCCCAGGTCTATTAAATCAGAAATTGTGTATTTTTAAAGAACATACTTAAATGGTGGTAAGAATCTACATATAAAACGGACTATTTTGATT